ATCATATCAATTGTGATCACACGACTTTGACACTTGAGTTTTATAGTTTTCTTTGTTCTCTCCTATTTGTCGTATGGGTAGTAGAATTTTCCAAATATCGGGGACAGGTGATGAATCATTCCTATTACATGTATTTGTAGTTGATTCGATAAACAAAGCTTCTGTTATCAATCTCTCCCTATACCCTGTGACATTAGATTTTAAAACTGTCATCCTATCCCATCCTATTGTATGGTTGTGTGTGACTGCATGTAGTGCTATAGCTGAACTATTCTCTAGATTTCTTATCTTATTCGGGTCAATCTAGATTTTGCTACGTTTTTATGCTCGGCTAGTCTGACTGCGCCTGTTCTACTACTTTGACCTGACAATCATTCCAGCTGGGTATTAGATGAACTAAATTGTTTTGTTTTAAAGGCTCTACAGGATCCTTTAAACGACAAAGCTTGTTTCTAATTCAGTTTGTGGGTTTGAATGCCAGCCACTTTCATTCCTGCCTTGTTAAGAATTCTGCGTGAGGTGGTTTCCGAGGTTCCTTCCTTGTATGGAATTACTAGTGATGATTTAGATTCCTTATTGTTGGTGTTGTCTTGCGCACATTTCACTTGCATGTAGTCATTAATATTATTATTATTATTGTCATCACTATCACTACAATCATTATTTATTTTATTTTTACATTTCCCTACATATTTCCTGACTAATTTATCAGGGTAATTATTAAGTTTCAAGGCTTCTCTTATATGTATCACTTCCTGTCTTAGATTTTCTTTGGTACTACTTAGTTTTTGTGCTCTGTCACTTAAACATTTCACCAATCCTAATTTTACTGACATAGGATGGGATGATTGGAAGTACAAATATCTGTCTGAATGTGTGGGTTTCCTGTGAACACTAATGATTAACTCCCCATCTTCTTTCGTTTTTACACTGAAATCTAACATTGGAAGTTCCCCTTCCTGACTTTCCAATTCATAAGTGAATTGAATTGCCTCCACTTTTGAGTTAATGTGTTCGAAAAATCTATCTATATCTTGTGTTCTAAGTACAGTGAATGTGTCATCTACATACCTCGACCATACATTTGGGTTGGGGGTGAACGTTTCAATTGCTATGTTTCCCCACCTATCCATGAATACAACCGGGGATACTAGTGACCCCATGGCAACTCCCTCAGTTTGTTTGTATATTTTCCCTTGGAATTTAAATACTGTGGAAGTCAGGCACAGCTGCACCCCCAGCATTATGTCCTCAAGTGGCACTTCCATCCTAGGTTCAAGTTCTTGGTCAGAAATGAGTTCGTTTCTGACTGCCTCTATAGCCATATTAATTGGTATATGTGTATGTAAACTGACAATGTTAGAACTAACCATTTTCTCTTCATTATCTAATTTTAAATTATCTAATCTATGTTTCAGTTCATGAGAATTTATTAGTCTATATTTCGAGTGGCTTTTAAAGGGGTTTAATAGCATCGCTAAATATTTAGATAATTCAGAAGTAGGTGAATTTCTAAATTCAACTGTAGGTCTAATAGGGTATCCTGACTTGTGAACTTTAACAACACCATACATCCTACTGGGGTTATTAGTTTGGGGCATTAAATTAAACCACTTAGACTCACCTAGAAACGGCTTCATTTGGCGTATAAGAATACACTTTATATGCATACTCAGGCATTATGTTAAATTAATGCATTAAGCAGTACATTATTGCAAAATGGACAATGAATTCCATTTCACCGCATTTGTAATAATCGTAAAATCCATCTATATTTTTTAGTCTAGCAGTCAACAAATAAGTTAATGGCATAATATTAATAAAATCAAGGTAATACTTTACACATACAATCTACATAGTCCAAATTAATTTACTTCATTCAGTACAAACATACTCTAAGTTCATCCATGGATAAGATTTGAACTAACGATAGTCTCTGCCCATGCATCCAGTATCATAACGCATCTAGACCACTACTTCTGCCACCATGGAGGTCATGTTAGCATTTGCAGGTGACTTCCATATGCTGATAGCATTAACTTGTCAAATAATCCTCCGCTTTACGCAAAAGTAGGTTGTATGCATATCTGCAGAAATGTGAATAAGTCTCCATAAAACGAACCTATATCAAAAAGAAAGATAGCTTTTAGAAAAACACCCTTTTGGTGGGAAATATCACCCAACTGTTATTCCTTTCTTCTCATAGTAACGACATTGTGACACAAATCAGCCGAAACATAAATGCTTACAGTCAGCATGTAGAGAATACCTCACTCAGACCAGACCAGCATGTCGTCTACACAATCCACAGTCTCTATCACTCCAGACAACATATAACACAATCTTACTCAAAATCAATACTGTTCAAACATTTTACTGGAGTAATTCCAACGAAATAAAATCTTTACTTTGCTACAGTCAGTTTTCATGACTGGTTCTTTAAAAGCTGTTCACATCGATTTTTGTGAAACTGGGACCTATAAACAATCCTGTGGACGTCCAATGAAAAGTTCAATTCAAAAGCTAAATTAAATCCAGAAACTTGAAAACACGATTTTCTATGCATAATTCTGGTTCTTTTAATTTTCAATATTTAATATCACTGTGAAGACATTTTCTAAGCCAGTCGAAATATTTCTCGATCTTTCGTTCATTTTACCTTCAACCGCGTCTACCGATTTACATGTACGTGCTTTGGCACGTACATTGGAAGAACAGAGGGAAGATTTATTGTCCGCATCCCCCTTTTTGTGTATTTTACAAAAACATGTTTTTGTGGTTACGTAACTTATTACCATTTTTACTCTTTCTAGTTAAACTTTATTTCTACCCGCAAAACATCTGTTGAACTCTGCCCTTTTGTTTCCAAGATTTTTTTTCCTTCATGTTCCTCAGTGGAACATAGGGCTTCAAGCTAGTGGCTTGAAGTTTCTTTAGCAGTGTTTATTTTACAGGATGGGGTTGCTAGCCTTATGCTCAACCTTTCCTCTTCAACAGCATTATTTCTGGCTTGGCGAGGTAAAGGAGTGCGTCGGTCAGGGATCGAACCCCAGACCATGTGCATGGTCGGCGAGCGTCCTAACCGCTATGCCACCGACGCACTGTTTCCAAGATTAGTCATGCAATTCTTATTCTTCTGAATCCCTTTCACTCTTAATAATTCAACAGATTAGACCATTCCTGACCAATGTTACTCTCGGCTCCAATCAATTACTCATTATCATTGTAAAAAGGTATGTACAGATCTTTCATTTATAATTTTGGTGTTGTTTAGGCAGCAACCAGTTGGGAAGAATTCACGAAATATTAAAATTAAAATCTGAGCTCAGGTTATCCCAGTACATTTGTCGTTCTTCTTTTATTCAAAATTAATAATGAGAAGAATTGTCTGAAGTTTATAATGTCGAGGTGTTTTCGTGCATATTACAGCAAACGACGCATGAGAAATATCGAATGTGTAGATAAACATCTTTAATAAACCGAATACAACATTTGGAATGATTTCAGTATTCCTTTAAACACGTAATATGAAATCACAGAATTTGCAATTGTAGCATTGCATTGTGTGTTGTTTTCAGAAAGAACAACCTCATCAAAAACAGTCATCAAAGCTACAAATCATTTCCATCATTGCGAAAACAAGTTTACTTTGTTGGAGGAGAGTTACCCTACAAATCTCTGTCATCTATCCATGGGCTCTTTCGTTTAGTCCCTTACTCTCATTTCTACAACAGTATAACTATATGTCAAATCATAGAAGGGAATCAGTTTCAGACTTTACACATGGGCTTAGTCCCTACTGGCTCTTGCTGATCAGACACACGCCATTTCATATTTTGTCCTGTGAAATTCAGTTGTTTGTCTACGACTGCTAAGTACCTGACGACGCTTTTCAGTCTGATAACAACGATTGCCAAATATAAACTTCATTTTAGACGGAAAAAGTGTTGTTGTCTTGTCTTCCTATTACGTTTTGCTGTGACTACGTACAAGTACATAGTTTGGCAAATGCTACGGATAAGATTTATCAGTAGTATGTGAACGGACGTTCATTGAAATAAAAACATCAAATAGCAGGGACATACATTTGGTGTCAGAGAAAGCAAATGATACAGAGTTGTGGAGATACATGGGAGATGTGAAAGGAACACAATGAAATACAACATGAAGTCCAGAAGTACCACAACACGAAGATCTGTGCAAATGGTGTGTTGAAGTTAAGGTATACATAATTTGGCTATGTAGAGATACCAGTTTCCAAATAAACATTACTTTACCAAGTCTTTCGTCTTCTACCGTGTCCATAGGACCAGAGGGGTGATGGTGGATTTCGCCTCCCCTTTCAAAACCTTAATTTGTAAACCCTTTCATCGCACGATGGTATGTATAAATAACTTAGGAGAATTTAAGCAAAGAAACTGAAAACACACGTCCTATATTCTACGAATAACCAATTTTAGGTAGGAAACATAAAGCCAGGATTTTATATACCGCTATTTCGTCTTATTTTTTCATTTTAGCTTACTTCATTACGAAACAATTGAAAGAGACGTTCAGGAAGCCAAGTACAAGATAAAATTCCCAAAAACTACTTATCACGACTAAAATGTGGAAACTTGAAAGTTTAGTCACGTATTAGACATAAAAAACCTAAGAAATGTTAACGTCTAATCACTCGAAACTGGGGCTACTGAATACACAAATAATTTATGAGATAACAGGCAGTTTCAGTAATTTTCTGTAGACTTTAGGTTGGAAGCACGAAGGGAAATGGTTATATTGGTCGTGAGATTTCATGTACACGAAGTAATCCTTACGCCCGAATTATATGCCTGACCAGAGCTTAGAAAGAATTCTCCACGTAAGCTAAATCATCAGATGTGAATACTAGTTATACCTGAATACTTTTGTATGATAACGCTGGGAAAAAACTGGTTCACAGTCATTCATGTTTTAGGATTCCATAGGAATAGTCAAATCTCAGAAAAAAGTTAAAGCAGATCACACTATACACTGTATTCAGCGGATAATTAAAAACAGTATAAAAGAATCAAAATAAAGAAACAATACTACGAAAATTTGTTTTTTTTCTTACAATCAGAAAGGATTTATGTTATCATGATTAATTGAAAATAAAATAATACGACATATAGCCTCAAGGTAATTCACCAAGAGCTTGAACAAGATCAGTGTATATACGACATCCACGTATGAATTCTGACTTATGCAAATACTCATCATGATCGTGTAATAGAACTGGTGTATTTCTAATTGGGGAAAATCCAATTGCTTCTATTGGCTTAACATTGGTTGCGTGTGGAAGTAGGTGGTATTCACGAACAAATCTGGCATCTGTACCACCAGGAAAAACTCTTTTCTGAACTTTACTACCATACTTTGAACATACATCAATTAAAGTAAACCACCATGGATTACTTGATTCATTTGGGAAGACAACTGATTGTTTTAAATCGACACCAGTATTAGAGTATTCAAACTGTATCAACATAAAACAAAAGTTTATTTAAAAATAATAGGTAAATATCTAAATTTTTTGATGTGGTTGTGTTCTCTGAGCTGGATAGTTAATTTGCGAAGCTTTCATCACCCTACTAGGTGACATCTTCAGCGCACACTTCAATTTGAAGTGAGCTTTAGCTCACTCAATTGAAGTGTGCGCTGAAGATGTCACCTAGTAGGGTGATGAAAGCTTCGCAAATTAACTATCCAGCTCAGAGAACACAACCACATCAAAATCACCCACCTGAGCTACAAATCTTTTCCATCAAATCTAAATACACATACAAAAGTTATTAATTCACTGCAAGGTGAACAAATATAAATCTCAGTAGTAATTCTGACATACTAATTTACTCCAGCGTTACGTGAAAACCAGGAAGTTGAACCACCTAATGTCACTTTATTAAAGTACAAACTACGTACATAGTATGGTTTCTATGCAGAAGTATATACACTGTAGAATCGATTAACAAGCACCTACCACTGCTAATTAACTAATTGCGCATCAAAGTATTCTTCCTTAGGTGAAAACATCCTTGTTCATAGGATCTGTAAAGCGAATCTCGTCTGTCACTGATGTATTCGTGTGTTTCTCCCACAGAAACCATCCAGTTTCTAGAATCACTCCGATGAAAGGTTATTTACAGAGCCGCGAACATGATCATACTGAGAATAGCCTAAAGATCAATCAAAAAATTTTCCATATCAAAATCAATTTCTGTATGTTATGATACAAGGATACTTAGTCAATCAGAGGATCTTTTGGACTGTATTACTCAGTCATCGTTCGAAATGCTAATGAATCCAGAAACTGAAAGATTTTGTTTTTTAAATATTTCGATTCGTCTGTATGTTTGACTTTCACGTTGTTTGGTCTCATGTATGACATATTGTTGCATAGAAAGGACAGACAATTTGCCACGTGTTGAAATAGTAGGGGAAAATGTAATCTATTTCAAAATTAAATACTATTTGTATAATATTATTACCCCCAAAACCAAAACAACATCGCCTAGTTCACTGGTTGCTCCTAGGTATGGAAAAAGAGAGGGGGGTTTGGGCGCGGGACTAACGACCCTACAACTGAAAAGCAGCCCAATCGCTATGGGAACTCCGAGGCACATAAAAAAATATAAAAAGGAAGGATTATTCTTTTCTGGAATTGAAGACACAGAATGTTGTGGCTTGATAAAAGCCTTCTAGAAGCCAGTGAGCCGATGTGTCTTCGCTCGATGAAAGCGAAATAAGCAAGAGGAAGTGGCGAATCTGAAAAGGCTGCTTAGATTGTAAAAGAAATGAGAAGATATGGATCAATGAGATCATATGGAATGGAAGTGAACTCTCCAAATTAGTTTCTGGAGAGTTTATATCCTACTCTGGTCACCCAGACGACAACCATGAGCACACAGAAGGAGGCTATCATGATGTCACCAACAGCTGCCAAATCTCTTATGCAGCGGGAACTAACCTCCTCCAGGATAATAATAGCAAGGTTCAACTCAAAAGGAAGGAGTTATAGTTATCCAGAGCAAGGCACCTACAAACAACATGGAGCAAGAGAAGGGAGATTTTTATAAACAACGGCAAACAGCAATGGATAGGACCCCAAACAAATGGAGATACCGAAATCCTAACGTGTGATAAGAATGCCAAACCAGTAGTAAACAAAACAGGGAGAAAGCATATAAAATGTCAGAAGGCTCATAGAGAGATGAGTGTGAATGCAGAACCCTTAGCAGACTTCTATGTATTCGATGATTTAGTGATTGGAGGTAGCGTGTATAAGCACAAGGATATACACAAGACGATATGAGCTTCACCTGAGTTACACACCACAAAGCAGATAGACACCGTCTCAATCTCAAGAAAGTTGAGACGCAGCCTACTGGACACGAAATTGAGAGGAGTGGCAGATGTGGACTTGGACCACTATTTGTTGCAAGGAATTCTCAACATCAAACTGAAAGCCTTTAAAGTGGCTGGAGATAGACCACAATTCAATTCAGCTTAAGGAACAAACTACAAAGGACGCAGTCACTGCAGCCATCAGAGCAAAGTTCGAGACATTGTGTAGTACTACGGAGGAAACAAGTGTGGAAGAACAACAGAACTGTTTGAAACTGATGTTAAAGGAGACCTGTATAACCGTCTTAGGAGGAAAGAAGAGACAAGCCAAGCAATAGCTCTCTACGGACACCTGAAAGCTAATAGAGGAGAGAAGTATGGTAAAACAGAAGATGAACCGGGGCTAAGATAGACAGTAAGAGGAGAAACTGACTTCAACTTACAACAGGCTGCAGGTAAGAGACACCTCCGAACATCGTACAAGATAACCAGGTTGTTATCCAGGAATAAATCAAAACAAACGAAGCCAATGCAAGACAGTCAAGCGAACCAAATTACCCAAGACAAGAAGCAAAGGCAACAATAGGTTAGTTACTTGTAAGAGCTCCTGAAATGACCAATACCTACAGCTCGGACAGAAATTCCACCGTTAGCCACAGAACTCTTAGTGAATACCACGCCTCCGACAAAAGAAGTCTTGAACACCATAAAGTCACTAAAAGCCATGAAGACAGCAGGACCAGGCGGAATTCATCCTGAAGCACTGAAAACGGATCCATAAACGACAGTGGGTATTCTCACGCTGCTTTTGCAGGAATTTTGGAAGGAAGGAAAGGTAGCTACTGATTGCAATGAAGGTCACTCTGCCAAACCACAAAATAAGGGTGAGTTAGGTCTCCGCAAGAGCTGGTGCGGAGCCATGCTCTTTACTACTCCAAGAAAAATATCAAGCCGTGTCAATGAACAGACTAAGAGATGCTTTGCATGCAATACTCCACCCTGAAAAAGCCGGATTCAGGAAAATCAAACCATGTGCTAATCTATTCAAACGCTATGCACCATCATCGAAAAGAGCATAGAATGACAGACAACTTTCTGCACCAACTTCATAGGCTTGGAAGAGACCTTCGACAGGGTCGCCCACGAGGTGATTTGGAAACTGTTTCAGCATTACAGAGTGCCCTGAACATTTATCAACCTCACTCAGCAGCTATATGATGATGCCACATGTCAAGTGATTCACAACGGAAAACTCAGGGAAGCATTCGACGTAAAGACAAGAGTAAGACAAGACTGTTTAATAGAACCGATGGTATTCCTGATAGTGATGGATCGGATCATGCGGAACACAGTGAGCGAGGAGCGGTGAGATAGGAATACTCTGTACCAATAAGACTCTAAAAGATATGGACTTTGCGGATGATTTATATAGAATACCACACAAATTCGAAGAACTGCAGGCGAAAGCCGAAGGGTTGGCGGAAGAAGCAACGAAAATATGACTTCAAGGGGTCATAGAAAGACAGAACACATGAACACACCAAACCACCACCAGCAGTAGCAACAACAACAAGCACCAATCACTATCGACTGGAGAAGTTTAAAGGAAGTCACTTCTTCCACTTATCTGGACAACATAGTTTCAATTACAGGCAACATGGATGAAGATTCCAAAGCCAGTCAGGATCAAAAAGGCATAATAGACTTTCATTAATCTAAAATCAGTGTGGAAATTAGATGCGATCAGCATAAAGAACAAGATTCAGACTTTCAACATGAATGTTAAGTCACTTCTTCTATATGGGCCAGAAACTTGACTCGCCATTAATATCATTTCCAAAAAGCTGAAGACTCATAAACACTTAGTATTAAACAGTTCCATAGTATATATATATATATATATATATATATATATATATATATATATAACATTGGTAAAGATAGGCGAAAATGTGAGAAAACACTGAACGAACTTTGAAAACTAACCTCGATTTGCCCCCCAGCACTGATTGCCCACTGATTCAACTTCTCCTTCAAACTATCCAAAGACAAGGATGGTGTCAACCGGATGTCAAATGATGCTAACAACTTTTCAGGTACGACATTGTGTTGTACACCACCATTTACCATTGTCATATTCACCGTTGTTATATCGCCTAGTGTTAATTTGCCTTGCGAATTCTCCAATCGTAACTGTTCCTCTTTACGAAAACAGTAAATGCTAGAAATTTCATTAGAAAAATTTTACAGTCTAAATTTTTCAGAATGCATTTCATCTGGCAAATAATTTAAAAATAGAAAAATAAAATCAGTCAATAATTAGAAACAGTTCCAGATTCGTTTTTACGTTTTTAAGCGGCCGTCAACATTGAGGAATGAGAATTCCAACTTTTTCGTAAAATGTATGGTTAATAATTTCAGCACTAAACCCTTGTGTGCTTTACATTTTACTCTAAAGACACAGTGAATATGACGATAATGATACTAACCACAGTTCTGATACAAATGAGGCCTTAGGGATAAGGTCATGCTTGCGGATCTCAATGACAAACGATCTACAGTGGCTGGAACGAATGTTCCCAGAGATCCTGCGACGCAAAAGAAATAGATCGGATATCGGTAAGAAATAAATCAACTAATATCATCCTGTAGGGAGCTTACAATATTATGAGGGCTTGAAAAATATGTAGGTACTAAAATGTTTCTCGAGGGCAACATGCAAGCCAACTATGCTGTCTACATGTGACGAAAGGAAGGGGTTGGAAACGTTAACAGCAAACAGTATTCACCAACTTAGTGTTCAAATACCCGTAGCCAGTAATAAGGTTCTGCAATTTATTGTATCTTCATATAGGTTATGTGTGTAAACCTCAGGCAGTTATTCCCTGGGATCTGCATTCATGCAATATTAACTGCCTCGCTTCTACGTACACATATCAAGGATTCGACTGATAATGTACATTGATAAAGTATCAACTATCTGAAAGTTCGCCTCAGCACACAAAACTCGTCTGTTTATCACCTACCTTCATGTACATTTCATCATCACTCTTGAACACAGCTCCAACTAGCAATACTGCTCCTTTAATAAATCACTAATCCCAGATCAGTAGTAATAGCTCAAACCAACGAGACACCTTCCCAAGTCTTCAGAAACTATTCTACCTAATTCATATCGGTCCCTTCAACTTCCGAATACTTCACCGAATCTGACAACAACCCTTATTATCTAAAATATTGCTTATGAATCTGTATTGTATATCTGAAAAGCACAGACAAGCATTAATAATGCTTTATTCATTTAACTAACTCTAACCGACATTTGGGATACACTAGATTCATAATACGAGCGTTTGTTTTTTCCCCACGAAATTTCTTGTATCGCAGACCATGGCGTTCTACAAGATGAAGCCATTTGCACATCCAAAACCCAGCAAGTATTTGTCAATGTAACATCCAGCTAAATGCCGACCGACAGTTGATATGCTGGTAAGTCTTGCATACCACAATGACCCATCGAGCTGTAATAGCTGGAATAAGTGTTCCTGAAGGCAGTGTCACGCAGTTGATGTTTCATAAATGACACTTAGAGCAAAACCAGACACTATCTAGCATAAGATATAGTCCAGTTTATTGGAGATCCATGAAAATACAGGGTGTTTTAAACATCCTGAGCAAATACTTAGTAAGCTTGCACTAATGGAGTGTTCCATATTAGATAAGCCTATTTGATAAAGCACACAATGATACAGTATTATTAACTGGATGAATTGTCGAGGAGATCATTGAGTGACACACCACACGGCAGGTCAGTTTGACAAGTGTTAACTTTCCACAACTAAGACACGAGAATACCAAATAAATAATAAGTTTAATATGCAACAGTTTTCTGCATTAATTTGCTAAGACATACTAGGCTGAGATTAGTATAATCGGATTTTGAAATACACGGGCCTTAAATTCAGTACAAATGAAATCCTAAGCCCCAAATCAGTCAACACCACCAAAATGTTAAAAAAATTCACTAGACTTTGTCTACTGAGAAAGAATACGTCAGTTGTCCTCAAAAACTTATTTTAAAGAATAGAATACCAAATAATTGAAACATTCGGTATAAAATAAAATACGACTGCATAAAACTTTTAATCAGCTAGTTCATAATAAAAAAATTTACACTGTTCGTAAATACTATTACTACTACTACTGTGGTGAGTGATACTTATTATCAGATACAAGTAGTATATCAGTAAACGAATTCAGAAAAGTAAAAAATATGTTTTGGGCGCTGAAAAAAGCAATCGAAGAAGAGAACTGTGGGGAGAATATTTTACCGCTGTGCAGAATTCAACAAGCTATCGAATGTGGTGATATTCGACCAATTTGCATATGATGTGTAAATAAGGACTTAAAGATAAGGTATGCCAAATTTATCTACCTACAATGCGTTTGTCACAATAAACATTACCTTCGAGCCTCGTCAGTCTGTTCTTCTTTATCCTCCTACTACCATTAATTCAGACAGTGAAACAAGTACAACAAAAAAAGGATTGGCTGAAAAGGACAAAAGCCTTACTGATTTAGGAAAATTCGAAATTTCTCAGCTGCAGTATTTTCAATTAAAGCTAGGCCATGACCAGCATTCCCATAGAAGTATACATTCAACCACACTGGCCGACGTTCATCATAAAATGCTAGATAGTCTTCTGATGAACTTGGTATACCTTCGTCTAAACAAAAACCAATATTCATGTCTGCAAACTTCATTCCTTTAAATTCGGTAAGGTTGCCTACGAAAGGTTTCATCCCTTTAGCACCACCCAATTCTTCATCGGGCACAAACGTCAGGTAAACTGTGCGACGTAATTGTTGATAACCGCGGGATTTCAGTCTTCTAACAGCCTCTAGCTGTTGAATACCAATAGACTTCATATCCTTCAGTAAAATTGTGCAAACAAAATGAGTAATAAACAATGAAATAATTTCGTATAAATAGCATATGCAATAACTACTAAAAGAATATTTTTTTTAAAATAACAACAGATGAAGTAACCTGCTCTGGAAATACAATATCACGGAGACATTGTTAAGTACTATCATTGAAACAAGTACAAAGCAAAAAGTAAATCTCGATTTCTTGATGAACAGTCATTAATCAAAGAAACATTAAAAACCAAACAGCATTAGAAAGTTGTTTCAACCGCGTTTTGGAACTTTCCAGTTGTAGGCGCCTAAGACCTTCCTATTACGAAGTAAGCATATGATTATTTAGCTACTAGAGTGGATTTTCAACTCCTGTCAATTCGCGAAACAATAGCATTGCCAATAAAAATCACCAGTGAGAATTTATCTAGCTATCTAGACACTAATAAGCAACAACTAAATGTTACATACTATTAAATACTGAAAGATTTCGAAAACTGTTTCTGCGGAAACTTTATCACAAAATCACTTTTAAATTCGAGATTCTGCCACAAAATCTTTTGAAGGCTACACAGACTTGTTATCTGAGTCCTTCGGTCTCAGGTTCTTGTTTATGAGCCATTTGCTATCAGCGTTATTTGGAAACTTTGCAGTTCTCTGTCAGAAATTTTTCGGCGCATTTTTGGGGATCCTTGAGATAAGCAAATGATTGGGATTCATTTTCTGCTTAAAAGAACAGCACTTTGAAAACCAATACACTTTCTGTTCTATGCAGTACTTCTGTAAAGAGGTATTTGTATTGAAATATTATCCTTTCTTAGCAGTTGAATATCAAGGAAACAGAACACACTATGTTCGATTCTGCTTCCAGAGCAGGGCATTACTGAAGGTAAAGAGCAAGCTTTTGAGATTCAACGATGCATCATAAGTAACGGAAGTAATATCAACTGATAAGAAAAGATGATAATTCACTACGGTACATTTGAATGGGAAATAAAGCCTTCTACGACAAAGACATATTATGGGCATGCCATGCCAATGGATCGTATATCTTCTGCTCTTAGATAAACCTGAGATTAGTCTCGTGAAGTGGAAGTAGTTAGTGTATATTGTTATATCATAAAATAAAGAACGTTTCTTATTAGGTTGATGTCCATTTGCTCATCATGACTTATTGAATAGTGTTCGCGATATTATATGACTCAGTGATCTGAGACGGTACTTTGAGTGTCAAATGATAGACGTCGTTTTGTAGATCTTTTTTTCATTTTGGAGTATTGAGTGCTTCTTAAAGTGTGCTAATCATAACAATGCATGGAGAAAAAAAAAACAAAGTTATGCAAAATTTATGTACCTGAGTTCCTCGACCGTATATTTTGCCATCTGAAGCAATTACGCCACCGAACGGTGGAAATGACCACTTCTCTTGCACCACTGGTACTACATCCATATGAGAGTTAAGCATAATTGCAGGTAGTTCCGGCTGATATCCTTTCCAACACATGATAACAATAGGATTATCAGCAACAGGTTCAACCACACTGCATTCAAGTTGTAACTCCTTACCTAAACTGACAAGCCAATCAACTGCAGGTCGATAATTCGGGTTTGGATGGACTGTAGCAAACTGAATGTATGAAACAAAGTTCTTTACAGCAATCTCATCCAAATCTTTTTCTTTAACATCATTCATTGTTGTCTAGAAAATGAGCAAAAGAAAAACTTTTATGTTAGTACACATGGAATGATTTGCAGAGCTTTAAATAACTGGTAATGACAAAATCGACTGGATGATTAATTGTCAACACAACTGAAAACATTTATATCCCGATACGAATTTAAAACAACCAATAAAGGTTAATAGAGCAGGATTTAATGAATTCATCAAATTTCAGTAGAACTCGTCAGCTGAATACTCTACATACACGGATATATATACATGTATATACTTTTGAAATTACATTGGGAGATATAGCACTGATAAGTAAACAAACTACATTGAATTAGTCATGCAGAAAGACAGGTGCGAATGTTTTCCAGGTCATGTTCAAATAGATAAGAGGAGAGAGAGTATGAGAGATCAAAATTAAGATAAATTGCATTACGCTTCAATTACATCACTTAGATTAGACATTAGACATATATATATATATATGTGTATGTAGAGTATTCAGTTGACGAGTTCTACCGAAATTTGATGAATTCGTTAAATCCTGCTCTATTAACCTTTATTGCTTGTCAATACAATTAATTGTTGCAGACTTTCATCAACAGCTTCATTCACTCCATACTGAAGATCGAATGGCCGGCCAGAAAGAATTAGCAACAAGACAATCTGGGAACAAACCAACCAAAAGCCGATCGCTCAATAAATATGTAGGAGAAAACGGAGATGGATCGGGCATACAATTAGGAGACAGTCGAATGACATTGAGCGCCAGACCATTGCTCGAGTGGAATCCCAATGGAAGAGACAAATGGGTTGTCCTAGGGTGACATGGAGGAGATCGTGTGAGGAAGAGATGAGATATTATGGGAAGTCGTGCGCCCATCTGAAGAGGATGGCAGAAAATAGAACAAAGTGGAGACTTTTAGTTGAGGCCCTATGTTCCACTCAGAACCCAAAAGAATAATACTGATGGTACAATTAAATGTTTGGACTTATAGGCGAGCAGGATGGCTAAAAATATGAGCATATATATATATATATATATATATATACGAAAGGGTGTTTGGATGTTGTACAGCAAATGACGGCTGTTTACCTAGAAATATGAATCGAAGTTTCTCTGATGCATTAACATAAAACGAAGCACATTAGCACATTCCACACTACCATATTTCTCAAGATAATAGAAAGGAGGAGACAATATGAAAACATGCAAAACAAACAGACCTTTGCACAATAAGTAATGAGAACTACTTATAATTCTCAATTGCCTACGTTAATGAGATGAGTTTCGTGCACCGATTCTAAAGCAAGTGTGTACAACAGTGAACAACAGCTGAGCCAAAACTATGCAGTTAAAATACAAGTGTTTTAAAGACAAGTTTGGAAATTATTGTGTCTTAAAAAAGAAGAGAAGTCGTGAAGAAAAAAACACCGAATTGCAACAACACATGCATGTAAAAACAGCTAGAATACTTGGAAAATACAAAATACACATCTGAATTTAAAATGTTTCATGAAGTTAATATTTGTAACTAGGATAATAATTACGGTCAAGATGAAATGGGAACAGCGATTTGTTAAAAAATGAAACACCAAGATAATCTACTCTTAACCTAGATCGCAATTCAAATTATGACGACAAATTGTCTTATGACATAGCAACTTTTGAAATCCAGTGGATGAAGATCGCCGAAACTGTATCATTAAAATATAACGCAAATCAAAGGAATTCCAAAACGTATCTCAAACAGCACTGGTACAAGTAATTTGTGAAGACTACTAGCATTATCTAAGCTTATGATGACAAAAATGTCATTTATAAAACATAATAGAAACTTATTGCGTTCCACATCTACGCCAGAGATGATGTAATTTCACAAATGTAAAACGAGCGTTTTGCATCCGTGCTGAAATTTCTTCAGCAACCAGTCCGTTAGAGCTCATGCAACTTCCCAAATACGTGAAATGGTCACCTCATATCTTTAAAGTAGAAGTCGGTGGAGATCAGGCTTACAGAATCATCTTGTATTCTTCAGGAGCAAATTGCATGCCAAACATTATAAGATTTCTGCTCAAGGTGTTCAAAAGACTCTGCACTTTATCAGCGTCTTCACCTGTAAGGACAACATCGTCCGCATACTCTAAATCGACAAGACTGTTCTCTGGTAACAAGTCAGTCACTTAGTCGTTAAAGTCGACCAGGGTAACCACCGTTAGTATATCTGTGATCAAATGAAACAAAAATGGGGACAGTGGGAATCCATGAAGGACGCCACTTGCTGTCATCACTTCATATGCCAACTCTCTAATCTCTTGCACGGCAGCACGAGTTTAAGTTAAGAACCCTGATTAATGTGATATACTTTCGCAGCACTCCATGGACAGACATTGCCACACCTCTTGGTCAACAGAGTCAAATCCCACCTTTAGGTCAAGAAATATGGTAAGTGTTGAACACCAGTATGTATGCCTATATTCCAGAATCTGTCAAAAAATACAGATATGATGTACAGACCTTCTTCCTGGCCTAAGCCATGTATGGTCTTCTCGCACTTGTCTGTTCAGAGCATAGCTTAGTCTATGCATGCTCATTGAACCTAGAGTTATAGAGACTATATTAGTCGACCTGCTTCCCCAATGGTTTTCATATATTCAGATAAGCACTGAGTTATTTCTTCACTAAATAAAGACTTTTTGGTTTCATCAAGAAGTTACGAGTGACAAATTCAGCTGTTTCACTCCCTTTCCTTAAACTAGAAGTCGATACGGACAAATTATGTGACATCATCTTATTAATGACAGGATTGAAACGCAAGCCAAATATACTTAGATTTCTGCTAAACACTTTCAAAAGACTGCATTTTGAGACCGCCTTCATTCAGACGGACTATATCATCCATCGTAGCCTAACAACTCCAACTTTTACGATATTGTTTATCTTAAGCTTAAAGTACTCTCATCAGAGACATATGGTACTATAATACTCAGAATTATCCACTCGTAGTTATCACAAGCGGACCTATCAACTAGGATGATCAATGATTTATACTAGTCTGTTGGAACTATCAAGGAATTCCATACGCTAGCAAATAAACACGGTTGATACAGCCAATAAGTAATCACCACCATATATAAAGACCACCATCTGCCTTCTTTTTTCCGTCATTTCGGATGGAAATGGTATTTGGTTGGAGACTGTCGACAGCCTTACCCACTGTTTCTACAACAGACTGGATATGATGCTAGGCTTCCTACAAGTGTTATGTTGTCGAATTCAGATAAGTGTCCAGCTATCCCCTCCCCGAGTATAGACTTAATTTTCTTATCAAAAAGCTAGGTACGTGAGGCACGTGCCACTGCTTATCTTCTACGTGCATACGCATGTCATACCAATTCATGACTAGGATACAAGCAGGTGTTCTGTAAATAACGACAACTCTACATTGACACTCTTCACCGACAACTCGTGGTTAAGTAGTCTGTTGTCTTTCGGCTGGATGTCTATGATAAACAGGGTGAGGAGGTTGGTAATTTCTCTCCTTATGTTTGCAAATAGTCCTGGCTAGGATTGGATGGTGATCTGGACAGAACTGTAGGAGGTGATCGGCGTTGCTTGTCCGCCGTCATAGAATTTCAAAGACATTTACAACAAACTATTTAAAATGGCTCAACTTCTCTTTTTAAGTGTTTTGTTCTTAGCAATAGACTAAACAGCTCATCATAAAACCCATAACTAATTTTTCTCAAGGGTAGGCAGATAGTACATGAGCAAACATTACAAAAAGATGTTGAAGAGCACTATGATCTTTTATAATACTCAAGGACCGAGGTGTTGTAGGATATTGGTCTAGGCCCTCCACTTACAGTCAATGGGTCACAGGTCCGATCCCCGTTCCACCTACCGAGGGTTGGGTAACCAGGTAGCATTAGTAGCCCTCACACAATAGGTGTACAGCATCGCAATTGGTTGTTGAGTAGTCTTTCATGCTCAATAACACATCCAGCTGAACAGCACTCAAACAACTTTCCACTGGGATCGTGTCGAGCAGGAAGTTTCCTACTCCCAAGTTCAGTAATAGCTCAACACCACCATGTTCACAAGAACTAGTGAAAGTATCTCCCTTGACACAAGTAGGGTGAGTTTCATAGAACCACTATGTTGGACAGCTGCTATTATTTTTGTAACTATGTGTGTCCCAGTGTCGGCCATTAGAAGCTCCAATATGAGGTTTTCAGAGTAGTTTTGAGAGAATATATAGTAGTGTTTCTCTAATTAAAGTTGCTAGCAGTGGTCACAGAGCTAAAAGGAATTGAAGAAACTGTCTGAGGAATAGTATTAACAATGGGATGACGACATGTGATGAACAGAAATTTGTGTGCTGATGAGTGAATGGACGATCGTTACTTCCAAACCGCATAAACCATGAAAGTTGGCTTCGTCAAATACATCGAAGTGAAAAACGACTAGTGTTGCGTGGTGATGCAGCACAGCAGAGTTCAGTGGACAATTATTCAACGAGGGTCGGACCATGTGTTTCAAAGTACTTTCTCGTCGCATAGAAGACCTTCTCGTCGACTACAGACTGTCATGACAGAGGTCGGCATGCACAACTTAATGATACATCTTTCCAAACATCCATTCTCAAGAGCTGCATGGTGTAGTGTTTATGAGTTAATCAAACATTCACCGATCAAGTGAGAATATTGAGGGCCCGCAATAAAGGCTTTATTCGTTTTATAATTCCAGTATAGAATCTGGTTTAAACAAAAATGAAAGATGTGAATAGTGTATAATATAAATGCTAAACGTTTATGAAAATGTTCACACCACATTCTTCTCCCCTTTTGTTTGAGAATACAGAGCATAAGGAGTCAAGACTTTTAAAATTGTTTAGACTTCGCGGCTTCTCAGATTGTATGGACGAACCCTTCGTTGTTTCTCTAGTAAAGAAGATGGGTTCGGATCAATTTTGACATTTTCACTTAAATTGTCCGTCAAAATAGGAGTTTCAGTATCTGTAGAACGGGTGGATATGTCGTCTTCAGTAATTTGATTTTGGAGGCATTCTGGTACTGCGTCTGGAATCGACATGCTAACGGGCGATTGAAATATATGTTCTTTTGGTGCAAGATGATGAATAGATACTGTTTCCTCACGTCCATCTGGAAGTCTCACATGAGCATACTTGGGATTAGATTCAATCAGTTCAACTTCATCAACTGGAGATTCATATTTAGAACGTACATTACGGCGCATCAAGACCGGTCCAGGAATAGTTAACCAACTGGGAAGAGAAACACCAGACGTTGATTTTCGATTGTACCTGAACATCCGTTCGTGTGGAGTAGTATTTGTGGCAGTACATAAAAGAGAACGGATAGAATTAAGAGCGTCGGGGAGAACAACCTCCCACTCACAGATTGGTATGGACCTAGATTTAGCAGCTAGTGACATACATCGCCAGAGAGTGCCGTTGAGACGTTCAATCTGTCCATTTAATTGGGGGTTGTATGCTGTTGTTCTACTGGTAACTATTCCTTTATCGTGGAGAAAATGTTTTAATTCTGCAGACATAAACGACGATCCTCTGTCTGAATGCATGTAGGATGGCATACCAAACAGGGAAAACAACTGGCACAGGCAATTAATAATAGTTGATGCTGTCATATCCTGGCAAGGAAAAGCGAACGGAAATCTAGAGTACTCATCAATTATCGTAAGAAGATATTTGTTCCGGGAGTTTGAAGGAAGAGGTCCTTTGAAATCAATATTTAGACGTTCAAAAGGAGAAGTCGCTTTAATAAGATTTCCTGTGGATACTTTGCAAAACCTGGGTTTCAGCTCAGCACAAACTGCACAACTAGATATCGTCCTCTTCACATCATCAACAGAAAAAGGTAGGTTCTTAGAACGCACAAAGTGAAGAAGGCGAACAACTCCTGGATGGCACAGAGAGTTATGTAGGTCTTTCAGATTAGTTTCACCCATGACAGAAGCAGAATATCCGCGAGATAATGCATCGGCGACTTTGTTTTCTTTGCCACAACGGTAGATTATATCAAAACTGTAACAAGAAAGTTCTATTCGCCAACGCTGAATCTTGTCATTCTTTATTTTCCCATGGTGGTTCATATCGTACATGAAAGAAACTGATCGTTGGTCTGTAATGAGTTGGAAATGAGTACCAAGTAAATAATGACGCCATTTTCTAATAGCTTCGACGATGGCATAAGCTTCTTTCTCCACCGCCGAGTGATGCCGTTCACTTGGTGATAGTGTTCTGGAAAAAAATGCAACGGGTCTACCATTTTGTGTTAACGTGGCAGCTATAGCAGTATCCGAAGCGTCGGTTTCAACTATAAGGGGCAAGTCGAGATCCACAGTAGTCATCACAGATTGAGCAAGTTCATTTTTTAATGCTGCATATGAGCTTACAATAGTACCTGGTAATGGAAAGATTTTATTTTGTATAAGGGGTTGAATTTTATCGGAGAAATGAGATATCCATTGTGAATAATACGCAAAGAGACCAATGACTCGCTGTTGGGATTTAAGATCTCGTGGAGGTGATAAATTCCATAATGCTTGAAGTCTATCGGGATCAGGTTTGATCATTTTATGAGAAACTTCATAGCCTAGAAGTTTTACTTGTTTAACGCCAATAACACTTTTATTCTCATTGAATGTTAGCCCATATTTCCTGGATGCTTCATACAACCGGGCAAGATTTTTTGCATGTTGTTCTGTGTTTTCACCACAAATAGTTATATTATTAGATTGCATTCCACTTATGAATGCGTCACGTATTGCATCATTCTGATTTTGTTCAGCCGAGACAGGTTTGAATGAACAATCTTTTGCCAGAGATTTCAGTTTTTGTAAAAATTGGTCGAGGCTCTGTCCAGTTTCTTGTCTGCATGTGGATAATAGATGTCGAGCAAAAATCTCGTTCTTTGGTTTGACATACAGTTTCTCAAGAGTACTAAGAGCGCCGTCAAATGTTTTACATTCAGCAATGTATTCATATACAGTAGGTGAGATATAGTTGATGAGAACATCAAGTTTGTCTGAATCTGGAGTTGAAGATTTAGTGATAAAAGTATTGAATGTACGAAACCAATGATTCCAAATCTTCGAAGATGTTTGGCAATTGGAATCAGCATCAAAGCGTTCAGGACGTAATATCTTGTCCATAATAAAACGAATAAATTGTAGTGTTTATGAGTTAATCAAACATTCACCGATCAAGTGAGAATATTGAGGGCCCGCAATAAAGGCTTTATTCGTTTTATAATTCCAGTATAGAATCTGGTTTAAACAAAAATGAAAGATGTGAATAGTGTATAATATAAATGCTAAACGTTTATGAAAATGTTCACACCACACATGGCATCATAACTGGCTTCCTGGTTGCCTGGAGGAAACAAATGGAAACCCAAATTCGCTACACAAGGTGTAGCTCTCATGGAGTACTGGATGATACTTTGGTATTTGAAATGATGGGTGTTGGTGTTCGAGTCTCCGTGGGAACACCACTGCCTACTGGGGATGCAGGTACATCCAATTGGTTAGTCTCACAGATGGGACAGAGCGCGTGTACTTAACTCTACTGCTAGTCACCAATATCTACATAACTCTAACTTCGTTTAACGTCCTCTCAATAAGATAGGACTTAATCCAGATAAAATAAGTATCGTGTTACGTAGCTCTTTCATTTTCATAGGATTTCTGAAATACGGAACTAAAATGCGAAATGTTGTGAAAACAATAGTGAACTACTGCAATTCAAAAAAGATACCTCTGTCACAGTATTGCTGATGTAGATAACTTCTTTGGGACACAATGAGTTAATAACGACTTCAGCAATAAAACAAGCGAACACACACACATGTACAAAGAAAAGTTTAACAAATTGGATAATCACAGGTTTATTACAAAATATGCAGAAGAAATTCACAAGACTGATAGTTGCAGACTGTAACTATTCTGGATTTTTGTTTGTTATTTTCAACATTTTCTTTTTCTTCTTTCTCTTTACTGAAACAAGTGATGATTGTGCCTTTTTGCCAGTCTTTGAATTTTTCACTTTTTTATATCGCTTGACCTTTCGATTTGCACGTTGATCCACAGTTTGAGCAACAACTGTTTTTAATGATGGAGATTGATACTGCTGTAGACCAGGGTTACCATTATACAAATGAGAATGAAGAGTAGTGTTAGACAAAGTATCGTATGTAGTATCATCATCATCATTATTATTGCATGGCTTTTGAATGAGTGAAGAAATATACGGCTGGAATTCATGTAGAGTAAATTCATGGACCATAGAGCTACAAGTATACAATTCAGGACTGATTTGCACATCTTCCCATGATTTTCTCGGTTCAACTATGGATGACTATTTACAAATAGATAAGAACAAAAACAAGAACTGATACTCAAAGTGAAAAATGACCACAAATCAGATGCTTATATTACAGATATGCAAAATTACTACTGCTAGAACTGAATCAATTTTGAAATTCAACATACGGAAACAATGATGAAAAGCATTCAGATTAAAAACAATAACAACAGTATTAATATGTAAACAGTTATCGTCTTTTCCTACCGAAATGAACTGATGATATTTTCAGTTTTCCCGCAATCACGGGGAAAAGGTCTTGGGTAACGTCTTTTTAATACTTTTGATTGATAATGATTCATCTTAGGCATTTAATAACGAGCAGCAAATATAAAAACAGATTTTGAAACATACCAATCTAATCCTAAAAGCAACAGTCTTCAAACCTTCACATTAACGTTGAGTGTCTGCAGTAGGTTGTAGTAAGTCATACAAGTTGTAACGTCTCCCTAAAAGATAACACTGATTCCTAGTTTAGAAATAGGGAGTGAAGTAAAGAACGTTGACCACTTCACTTAATTGGGAAGTACCATCAGCCCCAATGGGTTGATCTCTGACGAAATTTCAGCACGGATACAGAGAGCTAGTTTCGCATATGCCAGTTTACGCCGTCTCCGGTGTAGACGTGATATCCGGCTGGCTATCGACCAAAGGGCGGGTGTACTGCTCAGCAGTCCGCTCCGTCCTCCTTTATGGCTGTGAGACCTAGCAATTTTGAGAGTGGAAGACATGAAAAAATTAGCTGTCTTTGATCATAGGTGCCTGCGTTCTATCCCTGTGTGAAGTGGTATAATAAGGTGAGCAATACTGAGGTTAGGCGTCGAGTGCTAGGTAAGGAGGGGAAATCAAACGACATGGCTGTGAAGCTACATCGACTGAGATGGTTAGGATATGTGTTACGTATGCCTAGTCATCGCCTTCCTCGACTGGTAATGTTACCTGACATAGGGTCAGGCTGGAAAAGAGCTAGCGGCGGTCAAACCAAAACATGGCACCAGTCAATGACATCTACAACAGATAGTCTAGGCCACGTAGAGAGGTGTAGACTTCCTGGTTGGGGTCCTCGGGATAGTCAAACCCAATGGTTGGAAACAATTGGTGACATGGCTCAAAATCGTTCTCAATGGCGCAGATGCATCCACTCCTTGTGACTTATGATTTCCAATTAAACTGTTTTGTTCTCCGTTATTACTATTCCTTTGTCTCACACCTCTGTTTACTGTCTATATTATGCATTTCTTCTACTTTCTTCTCTTGCTTTGTGTGCTACATGGAGTGTGGCGACTTGAACTGTTGCACATCGGTGCAAAGTTATATGTCGAATACAGACAGAAAGGATAACAAGAATTCTTAATTGGTGCTACCCTCCATTCACTCAAGGGAGGATATCTAGACTTTGTTTGTACATAAAAAACTGAGCTCTGCAGCATTATTTATCCTACTGAAGGATTGTAAAGAATAGTTATTATAGGTGTATAGTCTGTAAAAGCTTTAAATACTTCAATACTGTTATCTTCGTAATATAGCCAGCTTATGGTAAAACCACAGCATGTGCAATGTACAGGCTAAGGTTAGTAAGCCCACTGATGTAATCGGTTTTCAAATGACTGAGATACACGCCACAGTCTTACGCCAAGCAATATCACATTTAAAGACCAAGGCGTCCTGGTAACGCATGAAGTCAGTGACTTGGGTTTTATTATTATCATTATTATTTCCTTTAATTCCTAGAGGAACATAGGGCTTCAGCCGTGCGTCTCCATTGCGTTCGGTTTTCTGCTAGAGTCTTCACCTGGCTCCAAGTCTGCCCACACGTTTTTATCTCCTCTTCACATGACCTCCTCCAAGTCACCCTTGCACTGACGACCAACTCGCCGCTTCCCTTTCGGGTTCCACTCGAGCGATGGCTTGTCTAGTGGTGTCACTTGATGGTTTCCTCAGAGTATGGCCAATCCATCTCCATTTCTTCCTGCTTATTTGTTTCACAATCGGTTCCTGGTTGGTTTGCTCCAAGAGATCTCTGTTGCTGATCTTTTCTGGCCATCTGATCTTGAGCGAAGTATTGAGAGAAGACAACTGTTGATGAAGGTCTGTAGTTTATTCGAAGTGCTCTCCACGACGCGCCAAGTCTCTGATCCGTATAGTAGCACTAACTTCACATTGATGCTGAGTGCTGTTGACCTCCCTACAGACTTGAGAAAAATGAAAGCTTGTTTTGCTTTGCTATCTTCGTCAGTTCCGTCCGCCTGTAGTTGAAACGATGCTTACCAGGTAGGTAGGTAGGTAGGAGGCTGTTTCTTTCAGGTTCCTCCTATTTATGCTGATTGTTGTCTGTTGTTGCTGCTGTTAGTGTTGCCCAGGAATCTTCATCACCTCTGTTTTCTGCATGTTCACCTGAAGTCCTGTCTTTGATGCTTCTTCTGCTAACTTGCTGCTTTTCACTTGCACATCTTCCACTTTGTGGGAAATCAGACATATATCATCGGCGAAGTTCAGATCCTCCAAGTTTTTTGTGTGGGTCCATTTTATGCCTGTTTCCTCATTGCCCGCTGTTTGTCGCGTTATCCAATCTACTGCAATCAAGAAAATCATTGGCGATAGTAGGCAGCCTTGTCTTACTCCTGTCCTCACTTCGAAGGATTCCGTAATTTTCCCGTTGTGGATTACTTGGCATGTAGCATTGTCGTTTAGCTGTTGGATGAGATGTATAATTGTCGGTGGCACCCCATAGTAGCGAAGTAGTTTCCAAAACACCTCTCGATCGACGCTGTCGAAGGCCTTTTCAAAGTCGATGAAGTTGAGATAGAGAGGTGACTGCCATTCCAAGCTTTGTTCAATGATGATCCGTAATGTGGCGATCTGATCAATGCATGACTTGTTTATCCTCAATCCAGCCTGTTCCGGTCGAAGTTTTTCATCCAGGGCATGTTTGATTCTCTCCAGGATGATGCGGTTTAGTATTTTGCTTGGGATGGACAGGAGCATAATGTCGAGCCAGTTCTTGCATTAACTTAAGTCTCCTTTCTTTGGCAGTTTGAATAAGTCGCCTTTCTTCCAATCCTCGGGTACTTTGCCTTCTTTCCACACCTCCTCCAGTAGTGGCGTCATCAAGTCCGCTGTTGTCTCTAAGTCCATTTTCAATGCTTTTGCTGGGATTCCATCTGGTCCTGCTGCTTTTCCAGCTTTTAGCATCTTGATTGCCTTTAGGACTTCTGATTTCATCGGGGGGTTGGTGTTCACTGGTAGCTCTGTCTCCGTTGTTGGTATTGCTGGGCGCGTTGCAGGTGGTGGTCGATTTAGGAGTCTTTTGAAGTGTTCAGCCCAGTGTTTCCTTTGCTCCACTTCTTTGTTGAGTGACTTTCCATTGTCATCCTTCACTGGCTTAATTTGTGTCGAACAGTGACTTGAGTAGGACAAGAAAATGTGGAATTTGTGACTGACGCTTGTGAAACAAACGAAATAACTGATTCGCAGCTACAAAAAGAAATACTCAGAACCGGTTAGAGTGAAGTAGGTCCATTCATACGCTATTTTCTTTCACAATATTGTGAGTCTATATCAGATTATAATGTGGTAGTGGTAAAAAATTACAGAGCACTATGCCAGCAGATTGAAACTACTGAAATAATAGTCTAGAGAATCTATCTGGAAAACTGTCTCTCTAAAAGAATTTGAAAGTTGTTTATGAGAATACCATTTATCTTCAAGGCTACAGGGACACTTGCACAGAGTTTCATTATAGAATAACCCTCCGAGTTTCGATTACAAATAGCGTATCAACAAACGTAAACAACTATGAACAGAGAATCGAATGTGCAAATATTAAACAGGGACGAATACTGTAGAACTTCTAGAAGCTAGGAGATCAGAGGAATCTGCACTTAATAAATATTGGTCTAGATCAGTCACACGAAAATTGAGTCGAATATCAGATGAACGTAATGTTCAATGACGATAAAAGGTAGAAGTAAGGATAAAAGCAACCCGAAAGACACATAATCATATCAGGGACCATTACGACAGATGGTTTTTACGTTCATAAGGGATTCTAAACACTGACGATGTTGCTTAAAACGATACTGAAAGCTTGTAAATCAGACTAAAAAGCATTTGTAGAAATCTCCACTGTTTTGTCAACTTGGAAAACACATGATATTTCTTGCTGTATAATTAACAATCGATTATCGTCACTGAGAAGTGGTCAAATACGCAACTTTATCGCCTGCAAAACTTTTTACTAGAATTCTTTTACGAGGACAACAAATATTCAACAACATCTAGAATGAGAAAAATAACCACTTACATTATTAGGATGCCTGTCGTTCACTTCAAATAAAGGTGTTTTTCGTTCAGTGTTACCAACACATGGTGAGAATAGAGTATCAAGTAGCCGGAATATATCCAAAAGATCTGACGGAGCTTCATTAGATGTACAAAATGCAAAAACTGCCAACTACACAAGTTCAAAGCAAGATAAGACAATAAGATATTAAAGCTTACTAAACATGAGTTCACAGTGAAACATATCTTGCTGTTATCAAAAATTCTTAAAACAAGCACCGGAGAGTAAATCCAACACTTAACAACGAACTACCGCCAATGAATGTAAATTGATTAATGCAATTAAAGTCACCATGAGAGGTATACTTATCTATTCATGACTGACTACGTAAGCATTTATGTGATGTCACAGATTACTTTTCTGATTTTTATTGTCACTGAGCTGAACTCATTGTTAAACACAGTTTATCGATTTTTTCAAGTAATAATTACCACGCACACATTTGTTCACTCCTTGTGTATTTTAAATCCTTTGTTCTCACTATCCTCAAACTTTTCGTTATATTACCTATAAATAAACTCAGTTTGTTTTGTTATTTCAGTACTAACTGTCTCGTATACATGTTTCATGTTCTGTAGTGTATTAAGAATTGTGAACTTTTTCCCTTTCAGAAAAAGTTAAAGTATGTTATATACTTAAACCTATTTGCAATTATCCTTTTGAATTTCTACTGTTAGCAGGTGAAGTGAAGCTGTGAAATGAGGATACAGTATTGGCTATATGTCTTGAACTCTGCTTTGTTCTAACCTTACCTCTAATTTACTATGTGGTTTCAGCTAACAAGAACAACAGAACAAAGATACCTACAATCGAAAACCCGTAGTGTTCACACTTTGCAGTGATATTCACAAGTTGGATATGAATCACACAAACATGATTGATTGGGAAACCAGTAATTTCATCAGTCATTACAAGGCTAGAGTATTTATTAAACCGCGACCGAAATATTTAGATAACTTCATGACCGTGCTTTTTCAATCCCACTAATGAAGGTAATTTCATTTTGATACTTAAAGTGGAGTTTACAAAACGACTAATTTACCCATCACTAACCAATCCTTCATATTTTATAACTACTGGAAGTATAAGGTCACTCGATGCATACAATAGAGCTGCTTGTTCTGAACAATCAAAACCGAATAGATGAAATGGGACTCAAACTACTGAACCACCAGGAAAAGTAATGCGTGACGGTGATAAGTGAAATTTTATGTCTAATTTTTAAAGAACATTAACAGAAACACATACTTTTTTTACTTCTTTTAATTTGGTGGTAACCAATTCAGGTAAACATCCCGACGGTTTAACAGATATCAATCTAATATTTAACAAATCACATAAATTAACAAGGTGATGCACATATTGTGACTGTAACCAGCCGGAATCAATAAAAACGCAAGAAATTTTCTTCCCATCAATTTGACTGTTCTCCACACTTCGACTATAATTTTCTAAACGTCGAATTATTTCATTTGAACCCAAAAGTACATGAGACCTAAAAAGTGAAGTGACAAAACTTCAATTATCTGAACACAAACCTTTCTCTTATCAAAGTTAACCGAGTAACTACAATACTTAGGTGAAAATAGCCCCGATGTAAGTATCGGGGTCGGACTATAAACAACGAAACTAGACAAGACTAAAGCATTACTCATTGGATTAGGAAGTTGACACTTAGTTGGCATTTTCTGGAATTATATTTGATTCAACCTACTTGAAAATGCATTGTTACTCTTACCAAACAAACTCTTTTATCACCTGGTATTATTTAACCGCATTGCATTGTACTAACTGCTACGATTGGTAGACGAAACATGAAGTGTTTGAAGAAACACAAATAGACACATTAATGTCATAAACAGAAACGCAAATGAAGTTTGAACTTTTACAGTCAGCATTCTAAAGTGGAAAACTCATACTTCACTTAACAATAAAGTGGAGTTGTGGATTACTGATCCAAAACCAGTGAGCTACTGGTTCGAACATAGTTGCACCCATAGATTTACGGGCAGCCAGATAGCATCATAAATTCATACATAACAACTTAGGCTCATTTCCTAAACGATGAAGACTCACCACACTGTCCAGTACCATATTTACATGTAAATTATTAAAAAAAGTAACAACTTATCACATCACGAAATGACATCAGCAATAAATCATAACTTTATTTTAGGCTGCGGCACCTGAGATGATTGCTTTGAAATATTTCTACCGCTAAGTTACTCACCCCTAAATCATGCAGTAGTGACCCAATAGGTGGAAAACTTGTAACTGGTGTCTCTAAGAAAACTAGACCATCCATTCAAGGGTTGGCAGTATAGGTTGACAAATCTGCCCTCACTCAATGCACAGAGTATACACCGCATACAAATCCTATCCACTGCCTTCGCATGGCGGGGATGTCCCTCACGAAAGCTAGACGGTAAAATGCGAACGCCTGGCGTCTACAACCGGACTGGCAATCTACTTAGTTGAGCTGGAAGACCCTGATTCCAAACCCATGGCGTACATAGGCTCCAGGGATCCGAAGCGATCGAATGGCGTTCTGGTCACCGACAATCATGAGGATGCAGCTTCACTGCCTTATGGATCAGACCTACTTCGGAGATGACCCCTTACGACAACCATCTACTTCTGTCGGGGTATATCCAGGCAATGTCCCGGCCCTCGCATTAGTCATGAGATTTTACATGGTGTATCTCTTCGTGTCCAAAATGTCTTAATAATGATAATAATAATAATACACCGCAGCAGTTTCACGGATAATAACAGCTATTGTTAAATATTCTTATTACAATCAATTATAATCTTACATCAATATGTGAGGAAGGTGTATGACTGTGCTAAGGCATAAGATGAATGTCATTATCCACCTAAGAATGAACTTATTTACTACTACACGCGCTGTGGAAGCACATGCGTATGACAGCAGAGAGCGAAAGCAGTGTTGCTAACATCTGAGACGAAATTAGTACTGAATACGCTAAGTTATTTAACAAGTTGCCTACTAAAAGTGTATATAAATACAACATATCAAAGTACTATTGAGCGAAAGATATCAATGTGGGAGTTGGAAATAACCCATGATAAAATCAACGTTTATAGAAATTAGCATGCGTATTTGATGAATAAATAAACAGTAAAACGTTATTCAACACTACAGAGCTATTTACAAAATTGCCAAATTTAATCAACAAATATAGTTACCAAAACACGTTACGATCTGAAACTTCCAACCACTCATGTTTTGTTTTTTTCTTCAGTAAACGACGAAGTTTCCCGATTTTCGGCAAATTACCAACCCCATCGCTCTCTGAGTGAGTATTATCATTGTTGGAAGCAATTTGGGGTATTTGTAGTTTCTGAAGTTCTACATCTATATCGTTGTTTTGAAATATGCTTAGAGATTGACATATGTCAGGAATGAAATTATGTATTGATTACCATTTTATTTTGTTGCACAGCGTATGAGACCTGTCAATGATGGGTATTCTAAGTGGTTGAAAACTTTGTGATTAGAAATTTACTTGTCTATAAATGCTAGTGAACCAGGCATACATAAGTATTTGGGTGGAGGTATTTCTTTCTTCCTCCTTAATTTAATCTCCGACTTACGTAGACCATTAACGGTCTGAGGATAACTTGAAGCTAGTTCATCCATAGGGAAATACGTTAATCTGAAAAAGTAAGAAATCATTTCTGTAAAATTGGGAATGATAAATACAACAATATCAGAGTGTGAATTAGGAGCTTTATACCGTCGTAAAACACATGATTAGCAAAAGAAAAGTAGAGCACGAGGTATTTGAAGTTTGTGGGAGATTCCGCCTTTTGACAATCTATACTCTGGACGCTGGCAAAGTAGTCTAATTGAAATCCATCCTTCTCTCTAAAATAAAACACATTAAATGGAGACGTACACTCAGTTGTTTACCTTCAAAACTTTAGTACTTGCATATTTTAAATAGCAATAAATTTTAAATTGATCAACCGAGATTTTCGAATACTAATTGATATATAAGCTGGTATTGACGAAATATGAAGTGAGTGAATACAGACTGAAAAGAATTTCCGCAAAATCAGAACCACGCGAACTTCGAAAGGAGAGTGAATTTTACACGCTCTTGTTTAATTTCCGCTTTTGTTGTGTTGTACGCTCCAAAAGTCCAAAGATTAAATCAGTTTTTTTTCTGATCGAAGTTAGTTTACTTTTCAGTTTTGAGTCTATTTAATTATTGGAAGTTGTGTTCTTATAACTTAATAGTTATACATATCCATTTTTGTACACATTGGTTTTTTATCAATGATTTATAAAGGTCACATATAAGGTCATATTTGGATCTTTTTGTCTGAATTCACTCTGAAAAGCATGCCTATCAAAACGAACCGCTGTGGAAGAGTTATGTGCATATTCCCAGTTGAAGAAGGAAGGCAATGTGATAACTGCAAGAGATGGTTTCATAGCATATGCACAAACCCAACTTCTGCAGCATACAAGCACTGCTACAGACCTCTGGCGAACTGGCTGTACAATGACTGCTGCAGTTCGACTAAGTTTCGTATAATGGAAGCCATTGCCACTCTCAGTGGGGTTCTAGAGCTCCTAGACTGCAAGAGTCCTCAGGCGAAGAGCGACTACTGCTCAGACACCGATGACGTGACTAACGTCATCGACAAAACAATAAACGTTCCTGATGCGTCTTTGTCAGGAAGTGAGTGTCCTTCAGCACAGAAGAGCACCCACCATATTCCAGACAACCATGCTGCCCCTATGAAACCAGATAAGCCCTCCAATGACAGTAATGGAAAGACTGGCACGAAGAAGAGGCGTACCAGGCGTCGGAAACCCGCAGCTAAAGTTGCCCAGGGACTTGTAGATCAATCCTCATCCACACCTGTGGATAGCAGAGACACAAATGACGCCAATAAATGGCGTAATATAGTCTCTCGCAAAAACGGAGATAAGGACAACATAATGGCCACACTGTCCACGAAGAACGGAAAGACACTTACGCTGCAGAGCAAGAAAGCCACGGTAAGCAAACCTGATCTCTCTGACAGGTCGCTCATTCTCCACAGAGTGGAAGAATCACCGGCCTCCGATCCCAGGGTCAGGTTCGAGCGTGACCTTAACCTGGTCAAGCCGCTCTTAGACAATCTATTGCCAACAAGAGTATCAGCCATACCCATACACAACTTATGTAGAATCGGCCAAAAGTCTGACTCGATAGTAAATCAACCGGTACGCCTTCTCAAAGTCGTACTAAACCCCAAAGAAGAAAGGGACGCCATTCTAAGTAACTCCCAAAGGATCAGGCGTATGTGTCCATGCCGACTTATGCCTAGCAGACCGCATCAAAAGACAGTGTGTGGCTCCAGAATTAAGAGAACGGCACCGAAACAGTGAAGAAACCTTAAGATTTAAGGGTTTTCGGGTTGTCAAAGTTGCAAGTTTGATGATCCCGAAACTTCTGTGGGTAGACCACGGAAGCACCAAAGTGAGTTGACAGTTCGCTACACAAATGCCCGCAGCCTGTTGAACAAACAGACTGAGCTGGGTTATATGACAGACTCCGGAAATCAGGATGTAATTATCATCACAGAGACATGGATCACACCCGATGTCACTGACAACGAAGTTAACCTGCCAAACTTTAAAGTGCATAGGTTGGACCGACTAAGCCCCAAAGAACGTGGTGTAGTCATCTACCTCAATAAATGCTTAACCGTGCGTAGCATCGAAGCACTCACTCACGAAAGTGAATCGTGCGAACTTCTACGCTGCAGAATTAAATGCATAGACCGAGATATTGACCGCATTGCTACATACCGCAGTCCCGACTGCAGTGAAGCTGACTTCCTAATAGAGAAGCTAGGCTCGTGGACATAGAAATATCGAAGTCTCGTAGTCGGCGACTTCAACACCCCAACAGTTGACTGGACGAGCCTAACAACTCCATCTTCAGTCAACTCCTTTGATCATAAACTGCTGGAATCTAGTATATCGTTAGCCCTAGTCCAACATGTCATTAAGCTCACAGCACTCCTCCCCAATCTGGACCTAGAGTTCTCCCACGGTGAGGATGTGAATCTCATACAACATTTTCCTCCTTTAGGAAGAAGTGATCCGTTGTGCTCGCTTTCAGTTTCACAGTGGCAGTATCATGGGCCAAAATCCCAGCTCGACCAAACGTTTGGAAAGCTGATATAAATGTGATCATTTCAGCAGCCAACTCACTGAACTGGTACGTAAACGCAGAGTACCAAGTAGAAGCCGCATGGAACCAGTTTAAACAACTTTAAGCCCGAGTAACTGAACCTTTCATCCCTTGGTCTGTCCAAAAGGGTCTGAGACATTTCCCCGCTTGGATAAACCGAGAGATTCGTAAGCTACTCAGACGTAAACACAATTGTTGGAACCTGGTTGCGACACTTGAGACTCCTGAGATCATAAAATTATACAACACCGACAAGAACAAAGCTATTGCAGAAATTCGCCAATTAAGGGTGAAGTTCGAAGCGCATCTGACTCAAAATGCAAAGGCACAACCTAAGAAAATTTTCTCATACATGAACTTCAGGAATAAGACATCCAATGGTGTCCCAAACCTGACTGTTGACAATGACACAACCTAAGAAGATCAAGAAAAAGTAGAAGTAATGACAGACTACTTATCCAAAGTCTTTACACAGGAGTCATCACTGCCCCATCGGATCAGCTGTGGCTGAATCAGAGGAAGACGGGATAGATTCCGTTGACGTCGATCAAGACATCATGCTCAGCTGCCTTACGAAACTAGATGCAGGGAAGTCAATGGGTTCCGATAGTCTTCATCCAATGCTTCTTAAGGAGCTATCAGCTCACATAGCCGACCCACTGACCACGATCTTCAAGCTGCCTCTCTTAAATGGAGTGTTACCGCGTGACTGGAAAGGCGCCATAGTAACTCCCATCCACAAAGGAAGAACAGGACAAAGCCCTTCAAATTACAGGCCTATTAATCTCACAAGCATTTTAATCGAGACACTGGAAAGAATCATCAAGAAAAGTATCATGGCATATCCGGAGCACAGCATGACTTCTAAGGAAACCTCTCATGCCCGTCAAATCTTCTCACTGGAAGAGAAAGCTGGGTCAAATCAAGGGACAACAAAAGACCCGTTGACGTCTTCTTAGACTTCGGCAAAGCCTTCGATAAAGTTCTCCACAAAAGACTACACATGAAGTTGGAAAGTCTTGGTATCAAACGCAGATTACTAAACCGGCTCAGGGAATTCCTCATAGATAGGAGGCAGAGTGTCAGGATCAACTTGAAACTCTCCTCCTGGACCGCAGTGCGTAGCAGAGTGCCACAAGGTTCGGTACTCGGACCTCCCCTAATTATTTTGTATATCAGTGAGTTATCTCAGCTCACGGATTCCTCTATGGTCCTATACGCAGATGACATAAAAATCTGGAGAGAGCTGAAGTGATACGCTCACATTGCAAGAAGACCTCAACAAATTGTCAGGGTGGTCCAGAGAATGGGTTCTCTCGAGCAACCTAGAGAAATGTGCAACTATGTGCATCGGACACGCAAGCATTAGCTCCTACGAACTGGAGGGAATAACACTCCCAAAAGTCCAGACTCATTTGGATTTAGGTACCACAGTAAGTCACGATTTAAAAACTACAGCATACTGTCACGCGGTGGCTGCAAGTAGTGTCAGATCCTTGTGGGCGATTCACAGAGCCTTTACTAGAATCACTACAGATATGTTCACATCCCCGACAGAAAGCTGCTACCTTGACGTGGTGGTCGGGCTTGAACACTGCAATGACCCTAAAAGCTATACTGGCTGAGACTTATGTCGCTTGGGGTCCTACCATGCCAGAAAGGTTGTTTGGATAGCGGTTAGACAAAATTCAGCTACCCAATCCAATACTACGATCGGAACAAATTCACAAAATATCATGCCGGATCGGTCGAGGCCCGGATTAACAACCACCGCGCTTCCTGCTGCCGTGTCATAGGGCAGAAGTGATAAATATGCTACTGAGACACACTAAACAAAAAAGAACAAACAAAAACAGGCCGCGTGTGACCGGCCTCAAGCAGTTGTTCCCTGGGCTCTGCGGTCACGCAACACTTTCTGTTTCAGGTTCCCGAAGAATCAATCAACTTCCACGGTGTGGGCAGTCGGGAAGTAACAACCGCCCACACACTTCCAAAAGCACACGAAGCCTTCCTGAGCATCACTTTCCCTTACATTACTTTTCTCATCTTGCTTCTCTACTACAGTTAGGACTATTCTGCAGGCTAGTGAGTCATCTTCTTCATGTTTACATCCTTATAATCACCTCTGGTGAGGTCAAGACTAGCAAACTGAATGCAGGCAGCCAGTCTTTGTCTTAAAGGGGACTCACATATTCTAGAAAGAGTCCAAAGAAAGGAAACACGTAAGATTCCTGGCAGTACTAATCTATTATACGAGGAAAGACTAGGCAGTTTAAATCTCTTCTCCCTGTCATACCGTAAACAGAGAGATTTAATTACAATGTTTAAAACTTTAAATAATGACTACGAACCTGATCTATTCTCTCTTCCTTCCCACCAGGTCGAAACACCTTAAAGGACATAGCAGGAGAGTTCAAGAAGAAGCCAAGAAGAAATCATGTTG